ACCGCATACATACAGTACATCCGTCAAGTTGGCAACCTATCAATGCCTGATCGTCGCAGCATCCTCCATACCCTCTACAACGTCAACTCCAACTTTGCAACGACTTGCTAAGCACCCTGCTGCTACTCCCCGCGTGCTTAGAGAGCGCGCCCGCCAATGGGGACACATTTCCCGCGACGTCTCCACGAACAATACTCCGATCACGCATAACGGCACTATCACCCCAGCGTCTACAACCCACGGATAACACAGGTACACCCCTGAAGCCGCACCAGGCGCAACCTCTTGCCACCGCACGTCTTCTGTCTCTGCTCCATCTTCGGCACGCCCTTCCATTTTTCCGATTCTCCGACTGACATACTCGGGACGCTGTTCCTGCGACCGCGCAAATCTGATCGATAGCACCATCGGCCCTGCGACAGATTCAGTGCACAGAAAGCATGCCGCCTCCATTCGGGAGACAAACAACGGCCGGTGGTGGTGGAAAGAGGAAATCAACGGGTGCAAGGAGGAGGAAGTCGGGAGCGGATGGTAGGGGTGCACATGCGGATGTAAGCGGAGGTGAGTACTCGGATGTTCGAGAGGGTCTTGGCGTGCACAATGAGGCCTACGAGCACGATCGATGGTACTTCCGAGCAAAGCAGGGGAAGGCATTTGTCGATGCGTGCCAGATGATCAGTAAGCGAGCCCTTCACTCTGCGGCGCGAAGGTCACTTCTCCGCTGAGCGGACTCATCGCGCACCTGCCGTAGCACGGTACAGCAATCACCGAGCTACTCCTGTAACCTTTGTGACTGTGACATTGACACCTTGCGCGTGCCTTGCTCTCCCTGTCTGACAGACACAACGGTATCTCGTCGCAAGCCTCGATTCAAGCCAGGGACACTAGCCATCCGGGAGATTCGTCGGTATCAAAAGTCGACGGATCTGTTGATCCAAAAGCTACCTTTTGCAAGAGTCGTACGAGAAGTGGCCGACGATTTTATCACGAACGCATACGATGGGAGCGGAGGGGCAGGACTGAGGTGGCAGAGCAGCGCTATTTTGGCCTTGCAAGAAGCTACGGAAGCGTACTTGGTGCACTTGTTCGAGGATGCTAACCTTTGCGCTATTCACGCCAAGAGGGTGACCATCATGCAGAGGGACATTCAGCTGGCTAGGCGCATCAGAGGCGTGTGGGGTGGCATGGGATGAGCGACTGGCTGGCTGGCCACATCTTCCTTCATTTTCTTCCCTCTTTAATTCATGACTCTCACTCGCTTTGGTCTCTCATCGCTGGCTAGAACTCGTGCGCACGCAATGTCCGCCACACTCACGACCATCAACAGACTTGCTCCATCACACTCACACACTCCCACTTCGCTTGTCTCTCGTCATCTCCTCCTTCGTGCAATTGCACTCGAGCCTGTACCTTTCACCGTTCGCTGTGCACGCGCGCCCATGCGTGGCGTGATCACCCCGAGACTTGGCTCCGCAGATGACAATGGGTCTGTGTGGTGAGGTGTCTACTCGGAATCTGAGTGCTGCCACTGGTCACGAGTCGACCTTGGCTGTGCGCTGGGATTTTACCTGGCGCTGATGCGATTGCATGGTGGTGGTCACCGCGATAGCAGTCTGAGTACCGGCAGCGGCATCGTAATCGTAATCGTGAATCACACAAGAGACCCCGCGCGCGTCAATTCTTTCCCTGTCAAGCGCGCACGGACGGGAGGCGGGGATGCATAATAAGCTCGCCTGGCTGGCTGGCTGACTGACTGCCTTCGGGCTTGTGACTCTTACTCTTTGACTTGCGCTTCTTGACGTTTGACTCGTCCGCTTCCACATCCATCTCTTCAAATGCCAGTCAGGTGAGGATGCAAAGCGCTCGGCTACGTCGCGCACACGATTCATAACTGCTGTTTGGAATCGCAAGCCCCTTCCCTTGGAGAGCGTGGCGAGCTGCTAGCGCGCGAAACGCACAAGAGCGCTCGACGATTTCATCAGGCGCATCACGAACTTGCGACCGCGACCAAGGCGCGCAAGGGAAGAGCCGAGCGGTAGAGGAAGGACGGCTTGAACTTGCTCACAGAGCAAAGGAGGAAATAGCAACCGTCGTCAAAGAATGGCAACCAGGGCGGCTCAGAACGCAGCTGCGAACGACGAGCTGGTTTCAGCTCTGCACGAGAGGCTGGTGCAGACGGGAGAGTGGGACAGGTGAGTGGTTGTGGTGTTTGCGTTTGCGAGAGACACGCTGTGGGCCGAGCCAGTGCATGCAGCCGGGCCATCCGTCGCATCTCGACGTCCTTGAACTGAGCCGTGTGCGCTCTGCACTGTGCTTTGGCATCCTGCCTTCGAACGCAGAGTGTTGGAAGCACTAAGGCGCGGACTGGAGGAGAGCGGCTGGGATGCTTCACTACGAGAAAAGGCATTTGGTGAGGCGCTCAAACCAACAAGGACCATCGTGCAGCTCGACAGCTGATCGTACGCGTTGCTCATCATCATCCAAATCACAATTATAGAGCAAGCAAAAGCTCAGACGAGACCAATAAGCTTACTCGACCTCGTCGAGACCTTGGAAACAGAGGCGCATAGTAAGTGGCGGGCAAGCTCGATGGCTTGAATAGCTCGACTGCAATCGGCACTCATGCAAGGTCGATGGTGTGCGCCCCATTTCCTGCCATCCAGCTTCCATTCCGCCAGCAGTCAGATCAGAAGTGACGAGCATGCTTCGGGACTTCATCTCTAGGAATGTGGAAGACGCATGAGTGCTTCCGACCGATCCATAAGCCTCGAACACCTCAGCAGTAAGGCTACTCTACAAGCAATGCACGATGCTCACCCCTGCAAACCGGCTCGAGAGGCGCAAAGATCGGCACGATGGATATACGTCTCGTATGTCGCTCTTTCCCTCGGGGACGCATGGAGTGGCGCTTCAGAGACGGTGTTACGACGATGAAAAACATTGAATTGTTGTTGTTCGTCCCCAAAGCCAGAGGAATCCTGGTGCGCTCGTTCGAGCGCTCGATATTCTAGGTGTTCTCCGCGCAATGGCAAGGGCGCGGCAGGGGCCATTCTCTCTCTGCCCAATGTATCTGGACTCTCCAAGGTCGTCTCGAGGAAGAGTCTTGCGCTAGTCCTCTAGCCGGATCTGCTATTCATCTCGCAACACTTTGACTAGCTTTGCCTTTGTCTCGCACTCCATCTTTCCGCACATGCACCTCGCTCGCACGTAACGTCCGCCGCACTTGTGATTCTCCCACCCTTCAAATACCATCTGCTTCCGCCTTAGTACATGTCCAATGAAGAGCCCTGTAGCGTGACGTGAATGGATGCGGTCAGCGTCAGAGTCAGCCTGACGAAGCGCAAGGACGTGGAGCAGAAGGTGCGTTCTAGTTCGTGCGCTGCAGCTAGGCTGGGGATCTCATGATCGTCTCTCGGTACTCCGTCTAGGTCCTTGGGGCTCGCAAACCTACTCAACGTTGTCACCCCTGATACACTTCGTGTCG